CCTTTGCCAGGAGTTCCTCATAGCTGTGTTTCCAGAACCCCGTTTGCAATACAAAGTTTCCAGTGAGATGACAGTGTAGCAGCTAGACTCCATCTCTCACAAAAACTAATTATTTTACTGCTGTTAATGGACATTTCTAATATGACATAACTAAATGGCTACGGCTTCTGGAGTGTTTTTTCCAATTTAAATCTTTACAATTTACCTTGAGAAAGATACCTACTTCTCAGAGGTCAATGATGTAAAGCTCTCCACTTGCCCCCCAGCCAGGATGATACTTTTTTCATTCAAAGGATTGACTATTTGATGCAGAAATCGAGTAGCTCCAGGCTTCCAGGAGTTGTAGCCAAACAGAAGAACCACCCGGAGATCTGGGTTATTCTTCAGACCTACAAACAAAACCACAAACGCCAATCCTCTTACCATTTTTAAATCCTGCTCCCTAAAGCCAACCATCCCAGGGTCTCCTCAAATGATACATTACACCTTTAGTAATGGCCTTTCACTGCTGCAATTTTCAAAGCAAGATAGAAACTGCCCCAGCATTCAGGAGCTGGGCTGCATTCCTGACCTAAGTGAGAATTTCTGAACAGAATCTAGCAAGGAAAAACAACTACATCTGCTTCCTAAAGCTTTCTGCTTCTGTACCATATGTTTATACATTATTCAAGAACCACCACAACACAGCAAATATCTTTACCTGAGAACTAAATAGATTACCACATCAGACAGTTGCTTACCCCAAGGTAGAAACTGCCAGACCCCTAGAAGACTCAAGAAACCCTTATTGTATTACTCTTCATAAATGACCTACCCTGCTAAGGACACAATGTGAAGAATTTAACAGTGCTGTCCTCTGTTCTGTCTTTCTTTGGTACACCACCAAATGACCTAAACGCAAAGTTGTTTCAGAGAAGAAGAGAAGCAGCTCCTGCCTACTCCTTTCTAAACTGTAATGACAGGAATCATTCCTAAGGGGAGAGACTCATTAATCATTATTTTTTACTGACTAGAGACTGCTCAAAACTTAACAGCTCTGCTGGCAAACTAAGTGAGGTAATCCAAGACCAATACTCAGGATAACTTGACCTTAATGCTCCACAGACAGGAAGAACGCTGACACATAATTACCAGCTGCAGCCCTACAGAGTGCTCTATGAATGAAGTTAGCACAGAAGCTGTTGGTTCCATGTGTTAACTCCACACTGGCACTCAAAAGAGGAATACAGTAATCCAGAACAGCCCAAATAAAGAGAATAACGTACCTGCTTCAGCAAATTTGCTTTCATCAAAGACCCTGTTCTTCACATCTTTAGAAAAATGGAAGGTATGAATTTTTACCCCATCAATTTTGGGAAACAACAAAGCAAACCCAGCTTCACCCTCTTCGATTTCTTGAGGTTGATTGCTGCTTGAACCCATCGGGGTAACTACAAAGATACAAAAGCAGACATCTTGTGTTGAGTGATTCTAATACTCTCATGTACACTAAAACAGATTAAGAGGCAGAACAGCTTAGGTGATGTAAAATATGACAGCTCATTTCCATAGCAACATACCCAATTAACAACTGTTGTGATATTTTTGGTTGATGCTTTGGAAAGATGAAGCATGCAGGAGTCCTAGATTGTGCTCAAGTCACTTTGGACACAGAGACACGGATATATGTAGACACTTCCCCCAGCCACAGCAAATATACAACAGTTGGAAAACAAGCACTGTACAATACAGCTGTCTCAGGCCTCCCTGCCAACTTCTGCAGGCATGCAAACACACACAGATTTTTAACACACAAGCATGTGATGACAGTATAGAGCAAACTGACACAAATACTGGGAGCATATTATTGAATTATGCTAGTAACAACAATCAAATACCCTATGTATGCTGTGGGAAGAGAATTTGAGATGAAAAACTAAGAAAAAGCTTTGCGATAATAAACAAGTGAAACAGTAGAAAACAGACTGCCATGGGAGGCTGTGAATTGTCCAGAGTTACTGAATATGCCCTCTGTTAGACCGTAACACATGGGTACATACTGAGGATGTCCCATATGATTAATCACAGCATATGAGACTGAAAAATACAGAAAAATCCAAGAAACACCCAACTATTACATTAAGATGCCAGCAGTAAGCTGGCTGCTCAATTAAATCAACCCTTTTAATTAGAATGGCATCAGACAAAGTAAGAATTTAAGCTCCACGTGACTTAACAGCAACCCTGTGACCTCCTTAAAATCCGAAGGTAGCACTGAGAGAGGTGGGAGCAGAACATGGAAATCAAAGTGAGAACTCTCCATCAGTTTAGGACTGTGCTTTCAAAAACAGAGAAAACTGTGACAAACAGCACCCGGCAGAGAGCTGTGATACACCAAACACCTTCAAAGTGTCTCTCACAAAATCACACATCTTCCTCCTACCTACAATCCCTGGAGTGACCAGTCCAAGAACCTGACATCGCTTTGGCAACAGTTTTTCAAGTGCAATTGCTGTTTCTTTACTATTTCTTTTCCTGGCTGTTAAAAAAAAAAAGGCAGAAAGAAAGTGAATTGTTCTGATGGGTACTGAGACAAACCCTGCAGCAGTCCCATGCTGCCCATCAGTGGCTATCCCATTAACAACATGGCAAACCTGCACTAACCAGGAGGAGCAAACAGAACCTGTATCCCCCAGAGAGTGGGAAAGCAACTCGTCTATGTAACAAAACATGAGATGTGCTTCACGCAAGTGCAATACTACATGGTTGCAGACTTTACTGCAAAATATCTACTTTCCCCAGAAATTCAAACTCAGAATCACAGAATCAACCAGGCTGGAAAAGCCCTTTCAGCTCCTCCAGTCCAACCATTGCCCAGCACTGCCAAGGCCACCACTAACCCATGGCACTGAGGCCTCGTCTCCACGCTGTGTGAACACTTGCAGGGACGGTGACTGCAGCCCTGCCCTGGGCAGCCTGTTCCAATGCCTGGGCACCCTCTGGGGAAGGAATTGTTCCTCAGCTCCATCTAAACCTGCCCTAGTGCTGGTTAAGATCACTTGTTACACGGCAGAGTACCTCGGAGCATTCCCTTTCAGATGGCTTTCCGCTCTGTGCGCCTCAAGCATTTCGGGAGGGGGGGGGGGGGGGTGTTACCTTTCTTCTGCTCGTGACACTCCTCATGCCCGCTGAAGGTTTCCGCATCGGCGATGTACAGCACGGTCTGGGGCAGCACATGCACCTTCTGTAGGGAGAGGAGAAGGAGCAGGAGGAGGAAGAGCAGGAGGCTGAGGGCTGCTCACCCAGCGCCCGCTCCGCAGGGCGGGCCCCGGCGGCTCCTCAGGCGGGACGAGGGCTTGAGGGAGCCCCCGCCTTGAGGCGCGAGCCCCCTGAGGCGGGAAGCCCCCCCCGAGGCGCGAGCCCCGCGCCCCTCAGCCGCGCCCGCGCGCACGGACCCACCTCGAGCTCGCGGGCCATGGCGCGCACCAGCGCGTGGCTGTCGGCGGGGCCCGGCTCCAGCGCCGACACCCAGGCGAGGCGCTGCCGTGCCCGCAGGATCCGCCGGGCGCACTCCCTCCACAGCCGGCACACGCTGCGAACAACAGCACCGCGGTCAGCGGGGCCGGCCCTCCCTCACGGCAGTACTCATACCCCCCGCCCGCCCCGCCCGGCCCTCCCTCACGGCAGTACTCATACCCCCCCGCCCGGCCCTCCCTCACGGCAGTACTCATACCCCCCCCCCGCCCCGCCCGGCCCGGCCCTCGCCCCTTACCAAGCGGCGCGCAGCAGCGCCTTGGTGGGCAGGAAGCCGAGGACGCGCTCCACCACCTCGGCCAGGTTGCTGAGGACGAACCCGCCCTTTGCGGCCTCCATAGCGGCGCCGCCGCCCGCCGCGGCCTCCCCTGCCAAGCCGCGGCCACGGAGGTCCCTGGCGCACTTCCGGCCACAAGGAGGCGGGGACAGCAGGAGCAGCCACGCTACCGCCGCCTAGCGGCGGGGAGGACGCGAGGGCTCCTCACCACACTTAACACAGAGCACCACGGACCCAGCGCACTTCGTAAAATGGTTTTTATTCATAAACTTGATGCAAGTTTACAAATTACTGTACATTGCCAGGGCGCTCCGCCGGGAGAAACGGAACCGCACCCGGGGCCGGCTCTGCCCCCACCCCCCGGCACCGCGACTGGGCGCGCTGCAACCCCGGCAGCGCGGCACCCAGCGCACCAGGGCAGCCGCGCGGGCTGGAAGCGGGGCCAAGCCTCTCCCATCCTTTCGCTCGAGCTAAAACCTGGATGTGGGAGCAAACGCCCAGGGAGCCGCGGGTGCCTGGCGGAGGAGAGAGCACAGGGGTGATAGTCAACTGAAAACAGAACAGAAACATGCGTCTGCGCTTCGAGAGAGTGCTTAACTCACGGTGCGGCCCCGCACGGGAGCGAAGGACTAGTACTACAACCAAAATAGAATCGATTTAGTTAAGGCAATGAAATATACTGTAATTACACAGACCCAGATTCGTTTCCTAATAAAGAACCAGCAGTTCCCATTCATCTCTCCATCACAAAACCACTGTCATGACTATGGCAACGTTTCTTAAACCTCTGACTCAGGTGACGTGTTTTTGTACTTTAGTGTAGCTTTTATATAAAAAATTTCATCCAAGGACTTTCATCTCGATTTGTGCCAATCACTTTTATAAGTTCATTAGTTTACAAATGATTGCAACAACCCGTTAATAAAATGGAACACCTAAAAAGGTTCTTTTTTTTTTTTAGTATTTTAAATAACTTCAAGCTTCATACTGCGGCTCTTCTTGTTAAGGAGCTTGAGCCAACAAGTAGCAGGAACAGCTCAGCAAGTTCTGATGCCCCAGTGGAAGTGACTAGTTACAAGGTTTTATTGGCACAGCCTTGCTCTGCTTCAAAAAAATTACAAAATAAACCAAAAAAAAGGAAAAAAAAAAGAAAAAAATTAACATAACCTAAACAAAGAACATCTCTTCCAAAAACCAGTTCATATTCTCATACAGCCATGAAAAATGTTTAATGACTTAACATACATGTGTTCTTCCTATATCATTAATTTGGAAATACTACAAATGCTGTCATTTTAGATCAGAAAAAAAAAACCAAAAACCTACTGTGATTTGCAAGACCTGACACCTCCTAAAACAGTATTAAACAAAGGTATTAAACTTCTTGGCTTTAAATGAAAATGATACAATGCAAGTCTCTGCAGTTTGCCTTTTGCAAAAGGTAAGAAATACACAAAAGTGTGTTGAACAACTCACTCCTTTTGAATGATCTTCAGTAACTCAGTAGCCTGCTGGAGGGAGCTTATACTTTCAAATAAAAAAGGGAGAAGGGAGGGCATGGCCCAATATGCTGAATCCATAAGAACAAATACGGTAAAGGCCCAAACTGCTCAGTCCAGATACCTAAGAAGAGCGGAATGGTAAGGCTGTAACTTATACTTTACGTGTCAGTTGACAGATTATCCACTAACTTATCTAATAGCTAAAGTCTTCAGTACAGCTGTTATAGGGGCACTCATAGCTTGAGTCTGTGTGTTGGAAAACATAAAAAAGAGCTTGTTTTGTTGACATTGGTCCATGTATGCAACAGTCCTCAACGTTAGCCATCTTCTTTTGGAGGAGTGTACCAGCCTGCAGAGAACAGAGACATGCATTAGGTACCGACATCGCTATGTCAGGACAGTCCTACACTCCGTTTCTCGGAGATAGAAGTCTAGAACCTGGCTCCTTCCTTCCCTCTTTAAGGCCAGCTCAGCAAGATCCAGTGCCCAAAATGCTAGTGGTCTGCAGTGGGACATAAAGCACATGGTATATTCCCAGATCACACCCAGGATTTGGGTGTGAAAACTTAATATTTCCAAGTTTGGGTTTTTTTGTGGCAGCAGCTATCCTGAGGTTGACAAGCTGGACATGAACAGGGGAAGCTGTTGAGAAGGAACGTTGCTGTAACAAAACCAAATGAAATAGAGGTAAAACCCTCAAGTCTTCCAGCCATTTAACGCACAGACATACAAACATGACTACACTGGGATATTTGTCTATAAATCCCACCTCCCATACTGAAGAGCTAGGCACGTACAAGCATTCGAATTGTTTATCCTACTTCTGTAAGTCTTGCTGCATCAACAGGCTCAAAAATGTCAGTTGAATAACTTGTCTCCTGACTGGATTTGGAATGTTTAGCAGTTGAATCACACCTGAACAAATGTGCATAGGGGTTTTTTTTTTAGTCACCTTCAAATCTCCAATCTTAATTCCCCAACCACTACTGTAAAAATTCCTCCGATTTTTTTGTACAGTGAATAAGCAGCCTATTTACTTTGTCCCAGAGAACAGGTAGCAAAAATACACCTTTGACAGCAGCTATAAATGCTGTGGATGCTTTGTGTACAGCTCGTGACATGGTAGTAATCACTGTAGGCTAGCACATAGCTAGAAGTAAAGAGAGCACCATGCTGGCTTCTGTAGTGAACTAAAAAAGCAAAAGGCTTGGTTAATGGCAAAATCAAAATACCATAAAATTGGAAAGCATTTTAAAGTTGTCATCTTTGATCTTCCTCCCCCTTGTAGAGAAAGCATTATGTTCAATTTTAGAGGTAGGGAAACTGAGGTGCTCGCTCCAGCCACACTGAAATACACTTATGTTCGCAGCAACATCAGTTCCCAGAAGACACTGGACCACAGGACATCACAGAAGTGGTAAGTGGACTTAACTCCCTTGTCACGACACCAGGGTACCACTTCTACTGACTACTTTTACATAACATGTCAGTCACTTAAACCTTTTAAAGCCTCAGGTCGTTTGTTGTGTCCTCATCCTGGCACAATGAACACAATTATACCTGAAGCACTTGAACACTTGTTTCATGCAGCTAAGAGACCATAAACTGGCTTTAAATAGAACAATAAATGTGTCTCCCATTTCTATTGGGACAGTTTTCCGGACAGTGCACTTGACTTGGACTTCTTGTATTTTCTAAACCTCTGGTCTTCCTTTCCACTTTATCGCTTCCTTAACGATTACTGCAAGGTCTTGCCACATTGAAACAAACCCCTTCAGGGAAAGGGGTAAACCTCCAGCAGCCACTTCACTAAGACACTCTGAAAGCTCCAGTAACAATGAAGTTCCTAGATCAGCTGGCCGAAAATGAAATTGAACCACCTTTCAAAAAGACAGCAGGAACACACGGAACATCCACGCAAGCTGGAAAAGTTGCAATGATTGTTAGTCAAGTTACTTTAAGCACTGTTGTCTTCCTAGCGCAAGATGAGAAAGAAACACAGTATGTTCTTTCCAAGCCAACATAAGACACTCTGGCACTTAGAAGTTTTACTGAGGCCAAATATCAATCCCCAGGTTGCTATGCAGACAAGAACAAAAATCAAAAGAATGTACATACCATTTTTCTCATGTATTTGTACTAGTGACTTATAGGACTGCTGTGCTCTTGCTAGGTTATATTGATTCTGAAAGGAGAAAAAGCTAACATAAAAAACTGGCAGCCAGACACGCGAGACTTAAAAACAGTTTTACAACGAAACTCTGCATCAGACTTACAATTAAAAACCATGCACAGTGTTACAACATTCCTGGATTTAAGGCACAAGATTTTCAAAACAAATACCCTTATTTTCTCATTTCTTTTCCATCATCATAACAGTAATTTGTACACCCTGACTGCTGGAAAGGCCCTTCTTTGAGAGGGTTAAGAACCTGAGCAACTGGAATGAAGGCTTCAGGCAACGTGCCTTGCTCAGCTGACCAGTTACTGGGTTAGACGGAATGGTGATCATAAACTTTTACATCTTACCTACCTAGGTGACTATCCTTGGAGGAGTGCTTAAAAACTAGCATCCAAGTGACAGTCTCATTCACTTAAATATTTAAACATCCTTTGGAAACAGCATTTCATACTTCAAAGTCTTTGAAGTTACAGCCTGTTACCAGAACGCCCACTTGAACTGAACTGTGATTTTCATTAATGCTGAACAGCTAGCTCAGGATTTGCATGGCATTATTTTTCACCCTCTCATGAAACTTTGCAGGTGCTTGGGCCAGCTAAAGGAGGAGAACTCCTTAATATCAGCATATGCTATCCTGGCAGCCAGGCTGTCATCTACAGCCCTTCTCAGATCTGGAATTTCCAAATACTCCTGATTACCAATGCCGATACCACTTCCTTCCCCACCTTGCCAATACAGGGATAGTGCAAGTCTAACTGCTTACACACCCTGCCCATCTCAAGGTTTTATCCTCCCATGTTCATTATTTAACAAACTCGGAGTTAACTGCCAATAAAATACTCACACATGCACCAGATGTCATGATAAATCAAAATGCAAATATATATGCAATGACAATTCTGGTGTTAAGCATCTTCTGTGCAACTCAGCAAACAAATGAAAGCCTAATAGGAACTTCTGTAACGGATATAACACAGCATATTTACCTTATTGGCTCCAAACTGTACTCTGGCTTTTCCTTTGACTAAAGTGGCATTGATCTGCATGATGACTGATTCTATTGAATAGGCACTGCTCCAGCCCTGGAGAAAGAAGGAAATATTTCTGTATAACATGTACTTGCTTCTTGTGCTCAGCTTACACATTGATGTTGGGATATGTGCTGTGGGAGGTTTATTTTTCTGAACTCCGTTTTTAAAGTACTTGTTTTCAGTTAACAACAGAGAAACTCCGCAAAGTGCTATTACAGTCTTACTACTAAGAACTTGTAGGAAACACGGAAAGGCTGATTCACACATTTCCAAAATGCAGCAAGACAGAAACAAGAGCAGTTCATTATTACACAGCTACAGGTTGGGCAGAGAAGAGATTCAGAGCAGCCCTGTGGAGAAGGACTTGGGGGTGTTGGTCAATGAGAAAATGAACATGAGCCGGCTTCAGTGTGCGCTCACAGCCCAGAAAGCAACCGTATCCTGGGCTGCATCAAAAGGAGAGTGACCAGCAGGTTGAAGGAGGTGATCCTGCCCCTCTGCTCTGCTCTTGTGAGACCTCACCTGGAGCATTGTGTGCAGTTCTGGTGTCCTCAACATAAAAAGGACATGGAACTGTTGGAACAAGTCCAGAGGAGGCCACGAGGATGCTCAGGGGACTGGAGCACCTCCCACATGAAGATAGGCTGAGAAAGTTGGGGCTGTTCAGCCTGGAGAAGAGAAGGCTGCGTGGAGACCTCATAGCAGCCTTCCAGTATCTGAAGGGGGCCTATAGGGATGCTGGGGAGGGACTCTTCATTAGGGACTGTAGTGACAGGACAAGGGGCAATGAGTTAAAACTGAAACAGGAAAAGTTTAGACTAGATATAAGGAAGAAATTCTTTCCTGTTAGGGTGGTGAGGTACTGGAATGGGTTGCCCAGGGAGGTTGTGAGTGCTCCATCCCTGGCAGTGTTCAAGGCCAGGTTGGACAGAACCTTGGGTGACATGGTTTAGTGTGAGGTGTCCCTGCCCATGGCAGGGGGGTTGGAACTGGATGATCTTAAGGTCCTTTCCAACCCTAACTACTCTATGATTACAGCATTTACACATTTTCAGCAACATCACAACAGAAATTACTTCTTGGAAGCAGCAGCAAAGATTGCTATCCAATGAAGCCATTGAGTGAGCTATGACAGTTCTGCCCCATGGAAGTTACTGCTCATCTCTGGCTTTGCTTCACCTCCCAAGGTTCACAAAAGTTTCTGCCAGAGCCTGCAAAACGGTTACTTCATTCATTTACTTATTTGAAGAGAAAACCAATCACTGTCTACACAAGAGTCATCCATGGTAGAATCTTCTGCATTCCTCACTTCTCCAGGGTGAAACAACATGTCTTGCTCCTCAGAACTCACTCTTTACACCAGCTTCCTCCCAGAAATTCTGAGAGCTCAGAGCTGATGTGCTCTCAATTCTTGCCTCTTCTTCAGACCTCTTGTAAGCCATCCAAGGCAGAAAAGAAGCTCTCTCACAAGATCAGCAAGGCAAATCTTGTGGGACTGAGGTTTATTCCACCATATTCCCTTTGGAGTGTGCAACTGATTCCACACAGGGATTCTTCATCTCAGGGGAAACACCTATTTGCATGATTTTAAAGCATGCTTTGTTATTATCCAGATAACAGAGCCTGTGTTCACCTGTTTAGTAAGAAGCTCCATGCATAATGCACCCCCTCCTAGGACATACCTAGAAACAGACATGAAAGAAAATATATTTGGCATCAACAGTTGGTAAAAGCTGAAACAGTTCACAGCACTTTAAGCTCTTGCAGGCTGGTTTGGTGAATTTGTTGTTTACATGAAGCTGAAATGCCCTTTAACCAGTAACACACTGTACCTAGCTGGCCATGTTATACTTGAGCAAAGAAGATTATTTTTTTTTTGGTCTAACAATACTAAATTCCTTCAGTTAAAATCAGTGCCTGAGCTAGTCCGCACAACTGCTTACACAACTGTACACACACCATGAAAGAAGGTTGCTTTATATGGTTGTACTACCGTATACTACCTATACTATGGTGTATACAGTACTATAGTGCTATACTGAGGTGCAGTTGTGGAAACAAACAAATTGACTTCTGTAAAGAAAGCGAATACAATTCCAAAGACTGTAGGTGCACCTGCAAATCAAAGGTGTAGGCGAATGGGATAAAGGAGCTCTTCCCCTATAAAACACTTTCTAATTTCAATAACACTTCATCATGCATTCTGCTGACTGGGACCCAGCAGTCAAAACACCTGGTCATCACAAAACCTGGGCTGGGGGAATAGAAGTTACCACTCCAAAAATGCAGCCTCTCCTATGATCAAGACATTCAACCAGCATAGACAGGGAAACAATTACTGAGAACGTGCTGGGCCACTCTCTCTTTCACACTCCAGAGAAGTCCAAGTACAGCAAAATCAGAATCCAAATGAGCTTTCTGGTGTCTGGCACTGCTTGTTCATTTCTGGGTAGCAGAAGCCCTCACGAACATTCTTTACCTGCCCTAACCATTTCTTGAATGCAAAACAGACACACAGCAATTAAAATCAAATTGGAATCAGCACCAGCTATCACAGACTGCCTTTTCAAATACACAGCTATAATTTCCTGTCAGCAGGAGATGCTTAAAAGCCTTAGAAGGGAAATTTAATTTGCTCTCCAAGGATATATACAAGTTTCTGTGCCACCGACAGCACTTCAAACATTCTACATGACTTTTGGAGCATCGTGTTGAGTTAATTTTAGTATTTGGGGGCTAGCATTTAAGGATGTTTTTGATAAAAATTTTATGGCAGTGATACCAGCAAGAGAGAGCCAGTCATAACTACAGTTTAAGGCAACACAGGGATCAAGACCCCTTCAAAGGACCAACTCAAAACACCCTGCAACAGAAGTAACAGCGATGTTAACCATCCACAAAAAGAGGGCAGCTCTTGAACACTGTGGCAGGCACAGAGCCTTTCAAAGCTAGACACAAACTAAGCAATTCAAAGCGGAATTGCACCCAGCTGTTTGCCTGCTATTACTTCAGAAAGCTTGAGAAACAAACCTGCATATAGCACTCTGAGCTTTGCACCAAACTCACGGCCTACAGCAGCTCAGGTACATATTTAGGGGAAGTTTCTAGAAGTCTACATGCGAGTCTCAAAACTTTCCCAACCCATCAATCTCAAGTTGTAACATTTTCACCACAAAGTAAGATTTCTGCAAGGCAACTCAAACCTACCCTCCTGTGAGCACTGGAGATACCACTCGTACAAAGGGAGGATCAAAAGGGAAGTTATCCTGAAAAGCGTAACAAAAACCAGGTTAAGAAATATACTTATTTAAGACACTGTTTTCCAACCAGGAAGTGTTTCAGTCACCTTATTTGGCAAATGAGATTTAAAGCAGAAGTTTTCAGTTCTGTAGAAATCACTTTCCCACAGTACCGGCTAAAGAGCAAGTACTGGGAAGCTTCAGTAGCAAATAAAGTTGCTTTTCTTTTTTCTTATTAATGCTACAGCTCTATCTTTACCCATGTAACAGCTGAGGGTCATTTCAGTCACTTCCTACAAGATGGCAGAAATTTAACCCCAGCATTTCTTCCCATAGACACATACCTTAAAAGAGAAGTTGAGTAAAATGTATTCTACACCTTCTTTCTCTTTTAAGACCTGAAGATCACTGTGCAGTGGGCTATCAGGATCAACCCTATAAAAGAAGCAGGGGGAGACCTTGGATGAAGTTACTATTTTCACTACCTGTAAAGAGTAATTACTCTTAAATACCTCCTTCAGGTATTTGTAGCTTACAAACTGCAATTTAAGGTAAACTGTAGAAAACTCCTGCTCCTTTTACAAAGTAAACACTTTGCTATGAGATCAGCCTGAAAGCTTGCTTCAATGCATTACATTCCCATTGCTATGTTATTTTCATAGTCATCTATGACTATATATTATTATATATAGTTGTCTATATATTTACAGTTAGTACAAAGTAACCTGTTTATTTGAAACCAGCAATTCTAATTCTCTACAGTTCGCTGGAAATAAATGTTCCAACAAGAGGGGTGAAGAAAAAAAATTCACATTAAGACTGTAGTGATCTAGTTTTCAGTACACAGTAAATCCTTTACTTTACGTGATCCTAGCTCCATTGCAGCTGTTCAAAGTAACCTGCATCAGCACAAGTACTAAAGCCAGCAGCTTCTGCCTACCAGTTTCATCAACTGCTTCTTGTAACATGCTGGCGATGAGCAGCCCAGACATTCATTCAGACACTTGCAGGTTAATCCCACCTAGGCTCTGACACCCCAGCAGCTTTTAGAAGAGCCCAGTCAAAAAAATGCCTGCTGCAAGCCTAAAGCATATGTTAAAGGGACTGATGGGCTATTACATCTAATCCTCTGCTACAAGTGAAACCACAAACTTGATAGATCCTATTTCAGAATTACTTGGGCAGCTTCCTACCAATGGGAAGCCCATTCAGAATAAAATCTCCCAGTGCTTAGAAACCCATCACTTGCACCCATAGCTTGCACTGGGCCAGTCCACTGTTACTTGTTCTAGTAACAGTATGGTTTCTTAATCAAATAGCCTCTTTCTGACATTTACCCCCTCATATAGTCTGCACACGTTTCATTTGTTTTCAGATGCTTTTTGATGGGATAGACAAAGCCAATACTTCTCTTCTCTTAGTCATCCTGGAAGCCATTCTCTGCATGCACTCCATTTTGTCTTTCTTGAGAGCAGAAAGTCAGCCCTGTCCACAGCACTTGAAAAGAGGTTTCAAATCACTTCACAGTGGTTTGAGCACTTTGTTACAGAAGCACTTGACAGACAAGGCCTCCTGTAATATGGCACAGATTTTTCATATATACGTCATAGCTGCCATTTTCAGCTTCAAAATGTTCCTATGCCTATGATTACACTAAGGGAAAAAAGCCTTTATTTCAGCAGCTGGTGACATAGTAATTCAAGTCTTACCACTAGGATAGGGCAACAATTCCTACAGGCAGGTAAATCATTGTGCTGAAACAGCTTACGCCCTTACTCACCATGACCTACCTAAATTGATGGAAATTCCTTCCATCTTTTGCTACCACCTAGCCTGGACAGGCTTTTCCTTCCTACAGGCTTACCTTGTAGGATGACTGCAGATGACCTTTATCAGGAATTATTTCAATATAACAGCTCTAGAATTAAAGTTACTGGACTTTGGACGCAACAAAAAGAGTTGTCTAGTGCATGTAGTGAAAAGCAGTACATAAAAGATGACAGCTTATGAGTCATAATTATGTTATACCTAAAAGTGTCAGTCCTATGTGTCTGCTCAAATGTAGAGATGAAGAACCAATGACACTGAGACAGTTCTGTTCCTTCTCACATCTTGAATAAAACTAGAAGCTGCATTTTCTTGAAATTAAAACCAAAAACCAAAATAAAACCATCCAGACAAAGGCTCTGGAAAAAAAAATGCATTAAAGTTTCATATTTTGGAGTCATTTTGGAAAGAGAACTGCACAGTAATGAAAGCTCCAGTAATACACACTCTGTTGGCTGTGCAAAGGGGGGGTGATTTTTTTGCCAGCTCAATAATTACTCCAGTTCAATCTCTGCACACATTTCTGTATACCAGAACTGTAGCCACCACACACTATTTTATATGCTCTGGCTAGAGATTCTCATTTATCAAAGATAAGAATCTCTGAAGGAATCACAAAACAGGTTCTTCAGAACATGACAAAACTTCAATGACTTACTTTAGAAGCTTAACGTGCCATTCATACAAGCTGTCATTTACCAGTTCCACTGAATATATCCCTGTAGAAACATGAGATAGAATTAATTACACACTAAAAAGTTAACAAGGTAAAATTTAGTAAAAACATTGTTTGCTTTTGAGTACAAATACTGTCAGAAGATGTAAGCAATAGATAAGATACTGATAGAGCCACATTCATCCTCAGTAGCAGAAGCACTTCTGAGCAACTATAAGGAAACAAGTTCTTTCAGTTCTAATAGAAAAAAAAAAACCCACATAGAATCCAAATGTTTTTCTGACACATAACCACTTCCCCTGCTCCCAGGTCCCCTTGGAACTTCCCACAGCTACAACCCCAACTTGCTTAGTACTCAGTATATTTTACACCCAGTACAGGACCAACACGCTTTTAAAACACTTAACACACAGTCTGCACAACCCATATTTATTTCCCAGGTTCTCAGCAGTGTTGGCACCCCAGGACAGGACACAGGACAGTGCATGGAGGGGAAATCCAGGAAAAGAAGATACTGCATTGGGTGAAGCGCCTTTCCTACAGCTGGCCAAAGGCGGCAGAAAGGTGCACTAAAAGAACAGCTGTCTCTGGAAGCCAGCTGGTGATTTTCAATGGTCTGGTTGTTTTAAGCATGCAAAATAATAGTTACATGTTTCACTCAAGGGAAGGATGAAAGGTTATTTGCCATTCTCCTGTATTTTCAAGCTTCCTCTCTGTAGATGCTCACAAGCAGTCCAGGAAGAAACAACAACCCTTTAAGATTTAGATAATACTATCAGCAATGCCCCAAAGCTTCATCTCTTCCCTCACAGACTATTCATGCATACACACTGAACAACTATGATTACACTTGTGACCTGGGCTAATATTTAACAGCATATCTGGTGCTGACGTAATTATCTGGAAGATGTACGCAACTGAGGAATCAGCCCAGGATGTCTGAAGGCTCCACCAGCAACAGACTGCAGTCACTGCATTCTCTCCAGGGAATTAAAGTATTCATATGTCTGAAATTTATTATTCTAGAGTAGATCACCTTGCAGCTGAAACTTTCAAGCATTAGTACTGCGAGTACAGATGACATTTCAAGTTGCCCAGGCACCTTTATTTCTAAAGCATTCCAAAACTCAATAAACCAGGTAAAGAAATCATGCTAGTTTCTCTGTACCACAGTGCCACCAACAAGCTCAGGACTGACAAGGTGTGCCTTAAAAGAACAGCAAGCTACTTATTCAGCCTTTCAGGCACCTGCGTTTTGAGCTGAATACTACCTGTATGCTCTCAGGAACAGCAGCAGCAGCAGGGCTGCTCTCTGCCGTGGTATAGAAGCTTGTTAACAACACTGTCCGAAGTTCAGGGGTGGGGTGTTTAATAGTCAAGAGGTGTTTTTTGGAACCAGCTCATATACTTTTTGCTCAATTTAGGCAGAGGGCTATCCATAGAGGTGATGGAAGCAAAAGCAAGCACACAGAACCATGAAGCCAGCAAAAAATTAAAGATGAAGAGGTGGGAAGAAAAGCAACTCCTTCCAAAATAGAGGCAATGTCTTACTCATTGCAACTTTACTACAACTAGAAGTAAAGCCCATACAGTCTTCGGATACAGCAGTGAGCTATATCTCTATATATACTTCACTACATATGAATAACAGTTGTGAAAAAAGTGAACAGAAAGTATTTCCATTAGTATCTCCAAATTCTTTGTTCCTCCCTCTTCTTCCTTCTCTCTGCCATGCTCACCCCCCAGTGATATTAAAACCCTTGTGAACTCTTCCATGTGAACTAACCAAATCTCCAACCTTATGTTTGGAACCGTGATAATCTGAGTTTGGAGGACTTGCGACTCCTATTATGAAAACAAGTGAATGAAACTGTCTAATTTATTGCAGAATCTCTTGACCTGCTGAAGTATTTTACTTCTGTTAGCTCATAAGAAAATGAGCTTTCTGTTTGATCTTAAGGGTACTTCTTCACTTAGATTTTCCAGGTAGATAAGCAACTTTCCTGTTGACAGCAAGTTGGCTGTCATCTTTTGCTTGAACAATAGGATTTCAATCAGTAAAGGAGCTTCAGTTCCAAAATGGACGCTACTTTGAGTGTACACACATAGATGAAGTCCTGGCAGTGTTTTTTAATGCTACTTTTTATTAAAACAGTTTAACAGAAAAGAAAAAAATTAAAGGACTATTACTACAACTATTACCTGCTTCAGCCGCCCCAGGGCTGTCCTGCTGTCAATCCTGAAGACATGTAACCTCATATACCCTAACTAAAGTGATTCTTACACAACTGACAAGCAGCCTTAGATGTTCTGGCTTATATTAGCAAAAATGAAAACAGACTTAAAATTACCTTGCAACAGTTACCAGAACCTTTAAGTTTCACAATGGTTCCCTCTGTGCGTTAATAGTAAGAAATTAAATTAAGGGGAAAATGGACCATGGAGCAAGTTCTCAGAAAAAGATCACAGGTAAAAAAAAACAAAACCAATGATCTACCATGCCCCTGCTCCCATGGTGGCAGTTATCTAACTAAACACAGACCCAGGCTAGAAAAGCAGGAGGTTTGTGCAAAGGAGAGGAGCTGATATTTAAACTCACTCAAGTCCTAAGATTAAAAGAAGCCATAAGGAATGGATCTAGGTATGTTTTATAACAAACAACATCATTTACTGGCACCATTTAATAAATGTAGCAATAGGATGCTGTTACAAAGCAGGACTGCCATGGTTTTATAGCATCAACCCCCACTTGACACTTCACTTCATCAACATTTTTTGGAAAAGGCATCCAGCTGTACTTTTTTTACATATTCCTAAGTCATAAGCTAATAGTAAGTTACTATACCCTTCCTAGGATCTCAGCTTCCTTTCCAGTTTAGCAGGGTTTACTTTTCCTCATCAGGGTATGCTTTCCTGCACCAGGACTTATGTCTTTTGCAACTAGTTAAGGCTGGTTATTAATCTAAAGCCAAGAAATGGCATTATTAAGGAACCCAAATCCTCTCCTCAAAATACACCTATTACAGGGGCTCTTTGGTGACTCCAGCAGTACTACTAGGATTAAGCACCACACAGTCTTTACAGTCGAGGAGAGTTGTTATAGCCAATCTTTGTTCTAACCACGAAAACAAACCCTGAAGACCCTACACGGGCAGTGAAGCATCCCATGTGACTAACACAGATCTATTTCTAGGCTCTTCCTTAGTCCCAGTAATCCATTCTTTGCTGGACAGATGGTGATTAGGGCATACTGGTAAGCACTCAGTTGCAGTAAAGCCTAAAAGAAGTAGGCTAGCGTTAGATCAACACTAGGTTACCTAATCAAATTTATACTTCAGACACTGTCCACAGTACTTGAGCACATAAAACTATTTACCTTAAATATGGCAAATCAAAACAGGAGCTTAATGTCTCTTCAACTCTGTCCTTTAAAATGCCTTAGCCACTGAGTGAGATTTAAGACCACTAGAAACAAACTACGGCAGAAGTTCAGTAAGAGACAGAGGATTACAATTTAGACTAATTTTCTAATTGGGCATTCTTTCTGTTCCCATTCTGGTTCTCACATCCGGCTGCAGTGGTGGAGTTGTCTACTCAGCTGACCTACAGGAATACAACTTGCCTGAAATCTGTGTTATCTCTATTTCTTGTATGGTGACACTCAGACAATTCAATATACTGATTCCTTTGCTGAGCTGTTTAGGTACAGCCCTTCTATGCAGCAAATAGAACAGAAAAACACCCACCTACCTAATACTAATCAGTGTTTGTTATTCAAACAAACTTAAAAAGCAAGCTTGTTTTCAATTACCATTTGTATCCTTATTCCAAAGAATATATAGAGCTCAGGATCAGATTAACACCATCACAATAGAAGTAACAGCAGTGTAGTTAAGGTTAAATCCTGTATAACAACAAATCCTTCTGCTGTTGAACACGAATCTCCCTATAGCAAGCATATCCTTGTGGGCAGTACTACCCACTAGTGGTAGTGGTCAGAGCTTTTGCCCTATATACCTGGAGAGCTGAATTTCAGGTAGTTTTGAAATCTCAAGAAATCCCACAGGCATAGTCTTGAATTGTTCTTTGTAGTCACCCACCCTGAGAGCATTCTTCTCAATGAAGTTTTGCGTTACAAAAAGGAAGAACATTTTAGGAGGATATGTATCCTCACTTCCTTTCTCTCCACCGATACACTTTTATGTAACAAGAGTCTATACAATGTACGTATCCATGTATTTTTATATATGTGCACACATATACCTACATACATGCATATACATACATATGACAACAAAACACAGAATTAGCAGGACACATTTACCAAGAGAATACTTTTAAAGCTTATTTTAAGAAGGGAAATCTGAAGCATTTTACCTGTTTTATAACTCTGTGATCTATATATATCCCTGAGTTCTTTCATAAGTCGATCTGAAGCCTGAACTGACCCAGAGACTGCACCCTGAAACAAACAAAAAAAGACTGCAAATAAGCAAAAAGTAACGTTTACAAACAGCTTTATTTCCATTACAAAGTTACAGTAACTCAAAGATTCTGTACTAGGATCAGGCTGCTGAAAACTTGCATTTTCTAGTGAGCAAGACTACTCAACAGAAACAAGACCCTCTAAAGCAGCACATTACTATATTCTACTACATGGTATAGGTGATACAAATTTTTAATCAAGGTACAACAGACATACTTCTCTGTTAAGTAATTTAATCTTTCTAGCATTTTGTTTCCAAGATGCATCCACAGTACATATCTAATAGGGAAATATTTCCTTTTACCTTCTACTCTTACACACTGGAAGGAAAAGAAAGACTAATGCTAAGAACAAGCTTCTGCACATAAGGTTTTACTGTTTTCTCAGAAGTGTATCTTTATTTGGTTACAAAAAAGGTAGAGGAGTTGGGAAGTATTTGCCACAGAGCAGTATCTGGATGCAGTAGGACTAATGAAAATACATAGAAAATGCGGAACAAAAGCAATACTATTGTGCGCAGAGTGAAAAAAACCCAGCACCTACACAGAGGAAGCATAAAGTAAGTAAATCTGAAAATACCAAATAATTTCTTGTGCTTTATCATAGTTCTTCTGGTTTATGCAACCAGGGCATGAATCTCTTCTATTCTTTCAGAGCTCAGTTCTGTATTACTCAGCATCTCAAAGCGACAAAATAACATACCACTTCTAAACCTGGTATTTTAGCCTGAGATACAGGGTGAAAGAAAAAAGAAAAAGAAAAGGAAAAAAGTGACATGCATACAAAGTAACTGGCTCCCAAAAGCACCAGTTAGTGACAAACTAATGACCACACCAGTTATCAAGTAACTGATGTCTATTTAATACCAACAACTGCTGCACTGGATGTATTCTGCATACATCCCCAATGCTGACAGCTCTGTGACCTGGGTATTAAATTTTGCCTCAATTTTGAGCTTAAAAGTGAGGCCAGAACCTTTCTTTCTTACAAGACTGAAGTGCTTATTTAGAATAACATGATCGCCAAAAATACCTTCATTACTCTCTCCAATTCAATGCCAACACTAGCAGGACAGATTTTGATACTAAACCTTAGATGCTACATGATTACCTTGTTGGTATATGCCACCCAAAATACCATTTTACACTCAAGATTTTTGGAAAACAGAGATGAAAACAAGCGAAAACCCCTACCACCAAACACAGAAGAAGAATCCCTCACCTAGAGTAAAGTTTGGTTCAGCTTCTCTATATGAAATACTGAATGATTACATTAAGTGTCTTGTTTTTCTACTCCATCTGTGAACTGGGAGAGATTTGGTTCTTCAGTTTTCTTTCAGACACTATGCACATCTATCTACAAACAGATTCTTCTTGGACAGAAGTGCCAGAGAAGTATTTCTGGAGAAGTCTGATGCAGTAATGACCATTGCTTAATACGTGAAACATCACCCCTGACCGCCTGAAGTCAACAGTGACATTATATATTCTACAAGTTATTAATTGTAGGATCAAATTATTTCTTAATAAGGATTAAATATCAGTACTAGTTACTTGATGCTAAAGCCTTCCCATACTCCTTTGTCTTCTCTGTTCAGTAGCACCATATAATATGCTTAGCTTCATGCTATAATCTGTAGACTGCTCTTTCAGGCTACTCATTTTCATATTCCTCTGGATTTAATTATGCAGATTACTGAATTTCCACTAGTTTTTCTTAACAGACCAGTATGAAGAATGAACTTTCTAATTAAATATGCAAATTAAAGGCAACTCCTTTAATCTGTTTAAACAAAAGCTACACAAAGACAGGGCTCCAGAGAAGTCATTTCTCAGTTTACTCAAGTCCCTGCCTATAGAGCACTATCAGACAAAGAAAGAATTTCTCTTCCTTTAACAGCAGGTGAATTAATTTTTATGGGAAAAAGCAGCTTGATTATTCATACAAGTTACCTGCAAATTACTACCATTTATACTACTTGCAGATTGGCTGGAAAAGGAAGCAGCACACTTAACACAGTGTTAAGCACCATTCTCTGTACAATGTCTGTGCTTTTTCAGACCTGTACTGTGTTAAGGTTGAGATTCAAAGTGTTGAATACAGAGGAAACTTCACAGGGAAGTGTCGAGATTCCAGCTTTCTTCTGCGCAGGCTGTGCAATATCCTTGCTTCATCTGCTGCATTTCTTACTGAAGGAACTGGTTTAAATATTTCATAGAATATCAACCTCTAAATACAGGCAATTTAAAACCAACTTGGACTCTCAAAGACATCCTCCAGAAAACTAGTTTCCTCATTGCACCTTTATTCCCATCAAATTAAGCTATTGAATTTCTGTACGTACAGTTGGAAGCTCACCTTTGCATATGAAAATTTAAGGATCTTCTCTACTGTAGTAATTTAAAACTCCAGACCACATACACCTGTATGCTGTTTTAACTGATGAGAAACTGAAGTGATGTTTAAAAACAAAGGTTAATTTCAGTGTGTGTAAGCTAGACTCAGTAGATTTAGTCTGTAACAGTATTTTGCACCCTTTTTTCCTAAGAGTTTCTGGTTGGGGTGCCCACTCCTACAGCAGCATTACAGGTAGTTAGACTCACTACTCTGATGAACTGATATGAGCGCAAACCAGTAATCTATGATCAAGAAAATGAGGCTAGCAAGCTTAACCTAACAAGTTTAGCACAGAAGCTTACTTTGTGCTCTTAAGTACCCTTGGACAAAGCTGTAGATATTAACTCCTATACCTCATAGTAACCTTAATGCCAAACACCACTGCTTTGAAACATGAACTCTCCATTCTGGTGTCACTTTTGTTTTTACAACTACTGTTAAAGTACAGTTTAGAAGAGAGTATTACTTGCATCACACCATTGTGTGATACAGTTGAGCACTGAGTTCAGTTTTGACTATACCAGCACTAAAATTAACACTTAACTTTCAGGAACTCACTATATGCAAAGTATAACTTTGAAGACTGAATTCAGATCTAGATAATGGAGCATCCTTCCGGAAAAGTGGAACTTACCACTCCAAGGGAGATAAAGCTCCCATTTCTCCACTTGAGAAATCAAGATTAAAATCACAACTGCCTTAGAAATAACTGGTCAACCACAGGATCTGACAGGTACCTGGGCTTGATTCCAAGTGCAGAAAGGCATAGCCATTTGATCTGTAAACTGAAGAAGTTAACAGAGCTGCTAGAGAAGCCCCAGGTGACTTCTTTCTGGTTAACTAATGAAACAGGTACAAGGAGTCTCACTTGATCATCCTCTCCTGTACAAGCATACTTGTGTTCTTCCAGGACAATGACAAGATAAGCTGGAGAGATCCCTGCTACAGGAGGTAAACATCTATGTGCCAGCTGCTGAGAGTTGCAAGTACCTGAAACACCTGGTGCAGGAATTCCCAGAGCCAAAACTGTTGGACATGAAAACTATTCATCAGATGCATCACTACAAGCTTGTCCTTGTCCACTAAGGACATGCTTCTGTCACTGCAAGGAACGTGAAACTCGGATGCAGGTCAGTACAGGCATTACATTTTTCAGAAGTGCTTCTACCCTTAATTAGTATTTTATTGCAAACACATGCATTTCAGTAAAATACTTTACAGAACAGTTAAGCAGCTTCTAAGACAATTGGGACTTCAGAACAGAGCTTCTGCATTCGCAGGTCAGTAGGGCACACCTAACTGCAGCACAGCAACGCCACTGCCCTAGCTGCCTACTGCACTAAATCTCCAGAGACAGGAGGTTCTGCAGCCTCGACTTTTCTCCTTTGGACCTTTTCTTTTCCCTTTCCATCTCTCAAAAGACGGCCACAGTCTGCTCCTTAAACTGAATTGTAGGAGGTGCAGTTCACTGCAGTTTTAAATCCAAAGACTGAACTGCCTTTTTCCTATCTGCTCTGAAAAATACTGTCATGCATCAAAACAGTGAATTGCTTCACTCACAATACATTCCAGATAGCTCAGCCACATGACCAAAAATTACTTGCTAAAACAAAACACAAAAAATGGAGTCTCCCCCAAGGTAAGAAAATAAAACCTAAAGTGACCCCAAAAGAGCTAAAGAATACAAGTTTGCTCTATTGCCACTGAAGATCCTTACTGTTTGTGCAGAAGTACGTTCATTCCTAGAAGATAGATTCATACTTCAAGGATTAGAATGAAAATGGAAATGACACTTCAGACCTCATAAAATCTGAAGATGAAAGTGGAGACATTTGAGACTTTTAGAGGAAAGTGCATAAATTCCTCAGTAGGAAATGGAAAAAGCCAATAGCATGATCTAAATAAAAGAAGCATTAATCTCTAAAATGACTGTGGGGAGAGACCTCTGAAAAGCAAGCAGCAGCAAGTTGTTAAATATTTGAAGTTAATGATTCCAGTTCAAAGACCTTTCTTTTTCCTACTCCCAGTACACAAGTGGTTCTTTAAAGTTATTACAATGTTAAGAGGAGGATTAATGCTTTCTCAAGTTACATACTGCACCACAAGGCAAAAATATTTCCTGATGCCAGAAAGAGAAGGATTCCAGTTACTGCCAAGGAAGAAAACTCATTTACAAAATTAGTAGATGCATATTCCTAACTACTATAAAACACACAAACCCTCAAAATTCCTACAACAAAAGACCTGAGCAGCAGAAAAATGTCTTTAACCTGTTAGGATTATGAGAGAACAGGACTGCATGCACTCCTTTCCTGTGGAAAAGCCTTTCTGCATCATCTGTAACTTCAACCTGCATTCCAGCCAAGGGGAGAGAGGCTCTGGACCCATGGATTTGGGCCAAAGAACATGTAAAGAAGCTGAGAAGTCTTCTGGTTGCACTGGGCAGTAGTCAAAGTGCTAGGCTTCATGCTCCCTCTTCCAACATCAAGTGTACAAATGACACAGGTGTGGTTTACTTTCCCCTGATGAGGAAACAAAGTATACCAAAAGAGCGGTGTAGTTTGTGTGAAAACCAGACTATGTTTATCCACTACATTTACATTTGTGGAACTCACACTGCCCTCTAAGAAAACTCACCGTGAAGGGCTGTACGGATATAAGGTTTGCTCTGTTAGGATACTTTCTTAGAGCACCTTTAAAATGTTCTATTCAAAGTCCCATGTTTTGGCAGCATAAAGGGGCATTTAAGTGCTACTAGGTTAGCTCTTTCCTAGGTCAGTAGTGCAGCTCCAGCTTGCAGTTCTCAAGCACTTAAAAGTAAATGCTCACAAGTCCTTTGAGAAATTCCTTAAGCAGTGCAGCTATTTCTGGTGACCCACAAAAATGCCACAGTTCCTCAGCAGCAGTTGAATACCCTGTTCCCTGTACTCAGCTGACCTTGTTTATGTACCAGCGTCAACGAGAGTGCCTTGGCATGAGAAACAGCTATTATGTAAGTTGAATCTGCTGTTGTCAAACAGAAAAGCAGCAGTGTTCATTTCAGCTCCACTAGATGTGGAGGGGAAAAAGCAAAAGGAAAGGCAGTATTTGCCAAATAGGGAAAAAAACCCCAACAGATAACAAAAGGAAATCTGCAGGTTTAGGAGGCTTTCCACATCAAGCAAAACCACCAAAACTACAAAAACCCTTTCCCAGTTCTACCAGTCTTAGATGATGGTAACCCATGCCTTTCAGGCTGCAAGAGGATTTATTTGCTTTGACAATTAAAGAGTTGTTACCATAAGGTCCGAGTTATAAGTACAGAAATACAGAGAATCTCAATATGCATCTTCTGCAACTGTGAACGTTAAAGTTTAAGCAAAACCAGGAAGTGATCACTGTCTGTTTTAAGACTTGACTATACAGCAAATGCAGTTTGGCACCTTATGTTTACCTGTTTTTAAGCACTGAAATGCTGACCAAGTTTGGGTTTAATTTGGTTTGGGGTTTCTTTTATTGTCACTGTGTTGGTTTGGGGTTTGTTTCTTTTGAAGGGTGATCATTACTGTACACTTTCCTTCAGACAACCTGGTAGGAAACTACTGAATTCTGAAAGCAGTCTCCTCTAGCAAACTATTTCATACTGCCTGTTTTAGCAGAACAGAAGTCTAAGGTATTTTTGAGAGGTTTGCACTCAAATCATACCTGAACAGCACTGGGACAGTAGCTGAAGAACTTTGAAGGATTTATATTTTATTTCCTTTGTAAAGCAGATGGCTACAAACTAAAACCCTTCTCCACATTAAAGTGTCAGTAACTAAAAGGAAAAACGTTATTTTTTCCTGAACAAAAGTTATTTAGGGCCAGTAATTCATTGCAACAAATAGTCAAGACCCTGCTAACCAAACTCTTGTGATAACCAGATATCTCAGGAGCACATCCAGCACTACAAGATTGGCTCAACTAGCACTAAGCACTTCAAATGTATAGAGCTCCTGCTACAAATCAAAAGAGGTTTACAACAGCAATCCTCTTGAATCTAGCAATTTAGGCTTTTTAGAAAATAGTTGCTAAAAAAAACAAAAACAACCCACAGTCAAATGTAAGAACTAGGAAAAGCTGGCTCCTTGGCCAAAATTCTAGGTCTTTCCTACATATCAACCCTGAACCTTACTCCTTCCCTAATTAGTTGCAGTTCCCTCCTCTGTACCTAACTACTGCTCACATCTTCAACTATCGGTTTAATGAGAAATAGCTCATCTTGTGTCTGGACATGATCTGCACATCTACAGACTTGCCAAGAAGCATGTAACAACTTACAAAGGTCACGCAGTAGAAGGCAGCAGTTCAGGCACCTTCTTTCTGTAGAGGTGTCTTATGAAAAACACAGACCCCTTACCTTGGCCTGAAACTGGTCATGACCAGCAGTATTGAAATTTCAGCATTACACATGTGAAGCCTCTGTGAAAGGGCCTGGATTTCTCTGGAAGCCAGGCTTAATAAAATTTGGGTTGTAGGACATCATCATTCCCTCCTACATGCACCTTTGAGAAGCAGCAGCTTCTTTGGAACTTGGCACTTGTGACAAAACACTGCTAAACCTCTAGAGAGCAAACAGGTTTTTTACAACTACCTGCTAGGAGGATAACTCAGAAAACTGTGATGATGAAGCTACAGAGGTGCTGAAGGCCCCTGGCTTTATGTCTGCCAAAAAACAAAAACAACCCAAACCCATCCTTCAATAATTTCCACGTGGCATAGATATTACTGAAAACCAAACTCATACATAAAATGGATTTAAAGCACAAACTCCTGGGTTTAACTAATTACATTAAGTCACCTATGACTTTTAATGCAGTCAATTTTATTTATGGCTTTATTCGTTATTTTACTAAGGGCTTAGCAACAAAAGTCATGCTTACAACCTAGATGCTTTCTGCTGTTTCTGCAAGGAGGACTACTGTTGATAACAAAGGCATTGAGCAAAGAGAAAAGGACAGTCAAATAGGTATCTCTGGAAATCAGACAGGCAGTTAAATATTGTTAACAAGTGTGAAACCTGGATTTACGTAGGAGTTGACTCCGGGGAAAAGCTAAAAGATGCTTCCTCATCCAAAAGGCCAAGAATAACTCAACCCAGTTTGACAAAATAAATTAAGATAGCATTCTCCTAGGCTGAATGAGAGTGCTTTGAGGTAGCTTTTGTGCCTCTGTGGGATCTGGATTGACAACTAACTTCCTGTACCAAAGATTTTGATGAAAGATAAGTCCATTTACTAAATGACCTTGGAATCTTAGCTGGCCTATTCAAACTTCTCCAAAAAGAGCTATTTAGGTCCCATAACTTGAGATATTTGTCCTATTTATGCTGGAAGTCAGCTACAGGTTAATGTATGTCTTAGTGTATAGCAATAGGCTTTATTTGCTGAAAACCATTCCTATTTCAAAGCCAGCAATATCGCAAAGAAAAGCCATAAAAATCAGTAACTCACATTTAAGTGATCTTGCCTTTGATTTTTTCTGATTTTTTCTAAGATTGCAAGGTTCTCTTTTTCAATGCCTTCATCCTCAGATTTCTTCCCATCAACTGGCTCCTCCTCCTTCATATCGTAATGATCCAGATCTTCAATGTCCTACAGGATACAGAATAAAGGAAAATTCATTGTAAATAGCTTAACTATGCTTTTGGTTCAATGAAGCTCCCCCAGGGACATTTGGGGATACAGCCACATACTGCACAGCACTATGTATCAGTGACTGTTGGATGCCATTTCTATTTTGCACTAACTTCACTCTCCCAGCCAACATTATTCACTGGAAGTGTAAGGAGCCTTCACAATACAAGTGGGACTCAAATTCACAACATGCTTCTGGTCACTGAAACAAGCACAGTAAAACCTCTGCAAGAGGCTAAAAATACAGTGAATTAGCCCATTAATGTAGGTAGAAAATAGGAAGGCATTTTGAACAGGGCTTGAGAATCCAAAAGTACCCAACGCTAGAGTGTCTCCAAGGTGTTTCTAAAAGCAGACTCTTTTCCATGAGAATCCTAGCTCTATTACACTGCTGGCAAACTATGATTAATGTACCCGGCAGGCCTAGCACAACCCCTCAAGAAAGTTAAACATTAGAAAGCTACATGTACTTCATTCAAGGTGAATTTTGGCTGAAAATCAGATGCAGCAATTTTGGAATTAAGATACAAGACAAACTCATGCAGTCAAGTATTCTGATTACACACACTAACACTACAGTCCTGAGCTCTAGACTAAGACTCAGAAAAATCTTCCACTCTGCATTCTGAGATGGGGTTATCCTGTTGCAGAGGAGTACTCAAGACAACTGTCTCTAAGGTGACTCAAGAGCTATTTGTGGAGAGGAGGGGAAGGATGTAAATGCCTTGAGATGAAAAATGAAACACCACAGCAGCCACACCAGCAACTTCTGAGTACACAACTATCAGATCCGCTCCAATATGTGGTGCTCCACCACACCTGTGGCTACTATTTATGCACCATCTGTTCGCATGGCAGGAAAACCTGGCCATAAATGCAAACTCAAGGATGTCTTGCGTAGCAAGAAACACACCCATGTGGTTCCTATGATAACACTGCAACAGATTTTACACCGAGTATTCTTTAAAATGCTCATGTTTCTCAAAATAATGCCAATAGCTCTACAAAGTGTAAAAAGCTTTTCAGTTTAGAAATGGGACTACATTACAAGTTGAAGATATGATTGCCACATGCAGTGCCACCTGACAGCTTATAAATAATGACAGACAGGACAGCAAACATACTACCTTTAAAGAAACTCTGGCTCCAATACATGCAATCTGGATCAGGCTAAACATGGTGTAAGACAGACTGCTTCAAATTAATTCCAGAACACAGGTAACATTTAGATCTTTTCTAAAGGAAGACCTTTTATTCAGAAAATTAGTTATTCATTCTTACTACACACCTTCATTGAAAACCTAAGTGTGAAGCAGTCAGAACCGTTCTCCTATAATAAGGTTATTTATTACAGTGGTTTAAAAAGCAAGCATCCTGGAGCTATGCTAACTTGTAGAAGTAAGGTCAAAGGGGTGGTTCTCACACAGTGCAAAGCTCATTAAGAGTAGCACTGTGTTGTCAGACAGTGACTTAAGTCCCTTAAAGTTTAGTGTGGCCGTTTCTGATGTCTTTCCATTTCCTTCAAGGTATTCTAGTTAAAAACTAGCTCACCTGTTTCATGAATCAGCAAACTGATTTACTCTTAACCAGTCTGCTTCAATCTGGGAGGCACTTTCAATTGTACTGGAGCCAGTTCATATGCTGCTTGAAATAGGAGTTAACAGCGCAAACTTACTGATTTGGCACACAAGGTTATGCATTGTTTGACTAAAGCACAAACAGATGTCCAATTCTCTGTATCCAAGTACCTCACAGCTGAGATCTAGGTTTAAGAAGAAAATTTCACTAGGTTTGTGGTGGAAGTGAAAGCCGACATCAAGGTAAACATCCTAATTTTTCAATATCTTTTGTGTTGAACTTTAGGGAGATTACACATTACAGTTTGGCTTAACAAACAGGCAGCCACTGCAGAGCAACATGCCAGAATTCTACTAGATTAGGACAACAATCTCATATATACACATACTTCACCCATTTCTTCTTCCTCCTCCTCCTCTGATGTAACTTCTTCTGTTGTTCCATTCTGTAACACAACAATGAGGTTTCTGCATAAATCGTGCATACGTTCTTTCCTTTCAAGAAGTCTCCTATCAAAGAGAAAGCACTGTACACACAAGTTACACTTAGCAAGCTCTGCAAAGGACTGAAGTTTAATGTGAAAAATACACAAAGATGCTTCCCTGGAGTACGACAGTGAAAAGATTTCTTGCATGAAGCAAAGATAAACAGAATGTCACAAAGAATTGCATGTTAAGTTCTAAGAGGAAACTTGGGATTCAGACAAGGATATCCTGTTCTGAGCCAGTCACAAAGAGAGTAAACAGATCAAGTAGGTTATAACTCATGATCTACAAAATCAGGTCACAGCTCTACATGGCAGACCTGTAAAAATCAAAAACTCAATGAACTTTAGACCTCTAACACCTAATGGATTTCTGTCTCCCTACCTAGAACACCTATGTAACAACTACTATCACCTTATAGCCACTGTTTCTCCATTATTTGACTGAATACCAAAGCAACACGTTGAGTTCTTTTTTCATTGCTTTCCATTTCAGGATGCCACTTCAAGTTCAGGAAGTTTGAGCTGCAGGAATTCTCAGAACCATTCATTTTGATACGCTTATCCTCTGCTTACTCTTCCTTTGGCAAAGAAGAAATCTCACTGCTGTAAACAATGCAGAGGACTAGAGGGATCTTTGGTCTGATTTATTAAGGTGATTCTTATTGAACTTGCAAATTATCCAACTTTCCTGGCTAAGAAACCTGCCATGAGTTTGGTTTTGATTTTCAGAGCATAAGCAAGGCTCTCCAAGGAAGCTACTTCCTAACATTACAGGCCTATTGCCTTATAGTTGCACTGCTCTGTGGGTGGCTCAGGGAGAAGTCCCATAAGGTTACAATTTGACACATGACCAAAATTAAGCAAGTTATTTGTCATTACTATAGTATTCTCACCACAGGAAAAACATCTGTTACACTACATGAGTTTTGAGAAATCACGTCATCCTATCATGTATAAGCAAACCAAAATACTGTAAACTTACTAAAAAATACAAAAAGGAATAGAAACTGTCGGTTACAAGGTCTGTTTTCAGCACAATACAAAACATTTTAGTTAACTAGAACATTTCACAGCCCTTCACAACTCTTAATTTGTCAAGTGCACAAAAAGTGAACAAGGCACTTCAGATACTCCCTACCCAAAGTAGCACATGGTCTTGATACCCCATGTCTCTGCAAGGGATTGAAGAGGAAGAAAAACATCCATAGCTTATTCAAGTGCACACTGAAAAGCATACACCCTTCAAGAAAAAGTAAACAGTGTTTAATCACATTTACACCTTGGAAAAATCTGGGAAGCACCAGGAATGCACAGTGACTGGCTTGAGCAGTATTTATGAGGGAATTAAACTGACAGCACTGGTATCACATACACACCTTTCCATCATACAGAAACTGCAAAGTAAATTGTGTAATATTATCACACCATTATTACATGGATTTGCAAACAACATTCAGACTGGGGACACCATAAAGCAACAGCGCTTCCTATCTCAGTTCTAGCTTACAAAAGGTTTAATCATTCCCACCATCTTGTTTCTCGGAATTGAAAAACTCCTCCTTCACTGCAATAAGGAGGTACCCATAGCTGTTTTTTACCTGTCCTGCTGGCAATGGCTGATCTAACATCTCAACATCTGGATGCTGAGGAAGATTATATAGTCTGCAGAGGTCACATATTAATCGCTTCAGCTGCTGAAGAAGCTATAAAAAAGAAAATATGGAAACATTTATTAAAACCAAAGCACAAACCAATACACTCTGAATCTTCTTCACAGGCTGGCACTGAACTTTCAGCGTACAACATTAAAATCGGTACACACTGGAACACTGCTCTAAGTGCCCACTTTTTCTCTGTGGTCATTGTAATAAAATCCCCAGAATGGGAAACCAAGGACATGGCAAGTTAAAGATGGTTCCCATTCATCTCCTAGTGTCAAGTGAAAAAAGCCATGAGCAAAAGAATAACCTGCATCATCCATTCCAGGCATAGGTGACTCAGCCACAAATCACTAGAGATTAATCAAACGGTCATATTCCTTGAGACAAGATGGTCCATTCCAGTTTCCTAGGTTAAAGAACCATGTCTTCAAAAAACCAAAGAGGAACAGTCTGATTTTCCACATCCTGAATCCTTTTACAGCACACTCCAGTGAGGCACTATAAGCAAGACAAACATTGTACAAGGCATAGAAACCAGCCAACTTTCGGCTAGAGCCCAAGCAGTCTGCTTGCCCGGCCTGCTGCATCCTGTATCAGGTTGAGGTACAATCTGTTACTACCACTGGTTTTTGTTTCCAGCTTTCAGCATTACATTGACTGTGTTAAGTTAACTGCAAAATATGGAACATCTTTCCTTCACTCTAGTGCTCTCCAGAACATCAATTAGTTCTGCAGAAATAAAGAAACAAAGCCTGCTTCTCAATCACCACATTAATGAAGTGGATTTCCATAGCTGTTAACTTTCTCCAGGCAGCCTCAGATTCCTAATTAAGGCCAAGACCATAAAACACCGCATTTCCTAACGTCCATGGTTATCTCTTTGCATGGCTATACCAGAAAAACAAAGAGCTGTGGAATACATCTGCAAGATGGTCAATGCCTTATCATTTGCAGAATGATAGCCTAGGTGAAGCTTGCAAAAATTACACATCCATTTATGGACTTCTCTTCCAGATACCAAAGGGAGGGAGTTTGTACACTGCCACTTGTAGAAGGCAGCGTGCAAGACAGCCATTTCTGTATGCCTGCCCTTCAGCACTACTAGTAGTTACACTTAGAGCTGCAACCCCCACTCCATAAAGGAAGGGGACTCAGGCAACGTGACCTCAGCCAGGGTTCAGTACAGATTATATCATCCTGGAACAACAATGCTTCTACAACACTCTTTGTTGCATACTCTGTTTCTTAACATACACAATAAATGAAGGTATCCAAGAAAAATCTAGTCACTCCAAAATATTCTACGTCTAAATCTTGCTATTGCCAAGTCTAAATGCTCTCATTTTACCCTACTGCAAGTGAAAATTGAGCCTCTCCAGGGTTAAGAACTCCTTTCCAAGCAGTGACAAGCAGATGTTGCCCTCATGCTACCTGAAAGCTTCAATGCTTTTCCTTTCTCCAGCAGAATTCAATACTGCTGGTTAATAAGAATGTTACATATTCAGAGGCCACAAACTGACATACCAGCCTGCACTCAAGAATTATGATGTTCTCTCCATCATATCACATTTGCTGTTTCTGCATCATTCCGGACAGCCATCCTTCACTCAAAAATAAAGCAGGTGACACCAAAAGAACTGGTGTATCAGCAACACATTTCTTCTGAATATACTCAAGAGATGTGATAGTTTTATGTTGCCAGAAGCTTTCTGTAACAATCACTTTTCTCACCAGTGTCAAGACTCTACACCTGTTTGAAACTTCCTGGGCGTCTGAAACATCAGGAAGTCTTTTAGCAGGCAGAAAGCAGCTTAATCAAAAAGTGAGGTGGTAGATAAAATCACAGGTCTTAGAACTATTATCCTCGATATAGGTAAGATGCACTGCTGCACATAATGTTGAGAACATTTTTCCCTGCATAAACAACACTGCATCATGGAGAACTGGAGAATCAACCATAAAATTTCAGGAACTGTAATTTTCTTGCACGTAACTATGTAAATTTAGGAAGCCATTCATTTGTTCACCTCTGTTGTGAGGCGTACCAAAGAAATCTAAACAGCTGGGGAAACAACAGCCCCAATGGCATTTGGCTGGCCCAAAACTTAGAAAAGTAGATGAACACAACATTAGGTGCCCCTCTACAGAAAGAGGCAGGAAGGGCTGAGAAGAAAGTGAAGCACTGCTTCCTGCTCTGCTTCCTCCGCTCCCCATGAGAAACCACCTGAATTGCGAGGCAGGAGGACCCCTTGCAGCCAGGACCTAACACATTGTAAGCTTCCCTCACTTCTTTCTGAGCACAGCACCACTGTGAGGTACATGAACGCTCAAAGCAACAAAACTGCTGGCACAGCCTGCACCAGCTTACAAGCAGCTGTGCCTGCAGTAGCGTCTTCCTGCCTCTAGCAGCACACTGTCACCTTCTCAACTGCACTGGCACCAGTGACCACACAACCATGCAGCAGCTTACAAGCTCCATGCCAGATCAATTCATGATCACCAACTTCAATTCACGAGCACCAACTCCACCACCAAGGGGAGGCAGGAATGGATAGCTAAGGGCAGGACCCCCTCTCTGGCAGCAGTCTACTCTTAGTGGCTAGCTTAATGCAACTTCTAAAGTGCAGTTTCAATTTTATAGCCAAGTTGTTTTACTTGACCTCAGTTTCTACAATGTGGAAAGGTGGCAGCAGAGTGAAAAGCTGGTCCTGTCTCTACAACCCTTCTTCCTCATTGTTACGTTTTTCCTATACTGGAATTCATTTCATACCCTTGATCCTTCTGCCATGGATCACTATCACTGTTATCCCTTATGCTATGGTCACGTGTATCAAAAATCATAGGATAATTTGGGCTGAAAGGCATTTCTGGAAGTCATCTAATCCAACCCCCTGCTCTAAGCAGGGCATGGCATGATTTGGTATGTGTTGGTGGCACATGAACAGACTGTATCAAAAGGGATAGCAGGTTTCTGCCATGTAGGAATAATTCACATGCATTTCCAGGCTAACTTCACATGCTTGGCTGATGTAAAACAAATGCTTAACATGTGCTTTGCTGCTACTGAAGGAAAGTGGGCTATCAGTGAACCAGTACTTTCGCTGTAATACAAACTGCCTAAAGCAGAAACTAAGCAGGAACTCGGATGTATAATCCGCAAGGTACTAAAGGAGCAATGTAAATACCTGTCCTGGGTTCAGCAGTAGCAGTCATGTTTTTCCTTTGTGTTAACTGGTGCAGTGCTGTGTTTTGACTTCTAGCTTGAGAACAGTGTTGGTGAAGCCGATGTTTTCGGTTGTTGCTAAGTGATGTTTACCCTGACCAAGGACTTTGTGAGGCTCATGCTCTGCCAGGGAGGAGGGGAAGCTGTGAGGAAGCAGAGACGGGGCGCCTGACCCGGGCTAGCCGGGGAGGTATTCCATACCACAGCACATCATGGCCGGGGTGAGGGGTAACTGGGAGTTACCCGGAAGGACAGGGGCTTCCGGGTGGAACTCGTTTTCTTGGCTGGTGGTATCGTATTCTCTTCCCTTGTTATTTTCCCTTATCATTGTTTTAGCTGATAGTAGCGGTGGTGATTTGTTGCTGGACTGTTCTTGTCTCAACCCGCAGGAGTTGCACTCTCTCGATCCTCCTCCCCGTTCCTCTGGGAGCGGGGAAGGGGAGAGCCCCGGTGCGGGTGGGGGAGACGGACACGGACCTCAATTGTTGTCAGCTCGGCACCACTCACTGGGAGTGAGTGAACAAGTTACCTGACTGCGTTTAAACCACGACAATACCCGCATAAGGCAAATGCTCAAGTGACCAAATACAATAACAAAATTATAACCTAATTACATAGATTAGAATTAATATGAAAATAACAATATATAAATATATATATAAAACAAATAATAACTTTTAATGCTTCAGGAGTTCTCAGAAGTTGGTAGTTCTCCTGGACAACATAATGCTGGTTTAGACACAAAAACACCTTGGAATTTTTTTTTGCTTCTGTGTTAACATCTTGCAAATAGAAAACAGTTTAGAACATTTTTTCTGAAGCCCATCTTACATTAGGAGGCCTTTTTATGCATTAAGGGATCTTTCTAACACCATATGAGAGCATTAATTTTAGGACAGCTTTAATGATATTAATATACTGCTGGATGCACTATGAAGCACCTTGTTTTCTATCACCAAGAAACATGGGCTTCAGTAGTCTAAATATAGGCATATTTATTCTTCCACATACATCTATCTACCTATATACACACACTATATTGATGTAAAAATAAATGAATCAATAAATCTTAGTGCACCACCGAAGTAAACTGCTGAAGAATACAAGAGGAAACAGAGAGAAGAAATAACTGCTGCTTGGAGTGTGACCACTCTGAGCTACCAGGCAGTCTGTGACAGTAACTGGGCTCACACTCAGCAGCCGTGGGCAGTTTCAGTAAATAAAGCACAGCTTCTTCCTGCATTTTGTCTCTATGAACCCCAGTACATGATTAGTTGCTGCTGCACTGGTAGCCTGCAAGAGCCAACGTTCTTTCCTGAAATGCCATCATGTGGGACTAAATCTAAATTCTTAATACAGCAGCAGTGTGCTTAGGGACAACAGCTCATCCAAGTTGTACACACACTTATGCCAGGAATTCTACACTTCTGGCATCTTCCACACAAATTTAAGCCCTCAAGGTTTGGAGGGCATGAGAAGTAAAAGCTGTCCATTTGAATTTAGACCCATTTCACTATTGGCTTTAAAAAGAAAACGTCCAAATCATGTATAGCTCTACTTAATAGCCCATAAAGATTTGAAACTAAATTTGCAACTATAACTTCCACTATCTAATATTATTATATAACGATTATATATAACTATTCTTCTATCTATAACACAAGAACCATGAAATTGAAGCAGGATTTCTCTTTTGCTTGACACAACCACTAGAAGGCAGCTCTCAGTTTCACTACCTATGCATCTCAAGTAATGCTGATGTTCAGATGTGGAAGGGAATCCAGGAGACACTAGGGGTCAGAGCGAATTCTGTAGCCCCTTCATCTGCTGACTTGAACTTGTTCAATCTGGACAGTCAGGCAGCTAAAGCGTCCAAACCTACTGCTACCAGCACTGATCACATTCTTAACCTTTCCACATGTTTAGCATTTTGACAAATGCTCATAGCAAGCAGCACCATGCTGATCCCAAGGGAAGTAACAGTTTCAGACCCACCGAAGATCTTCCAAGAAAAGGGGCATGATTTTAACATAGTAAAAGAATTTTCCTTTTAACATGTCAAACAGCAAGGCTTCCATACATATATATCCCTGTCAAACTTTTATGCCTGAAGAGCATGCTCTTCAGCTTCCCAAACAGGTGATACCTGACAAAAGCAAGGAGAAAGGCCAGAATAACCCTTAAGAATGCTTAAATGAGGATACATGTGCTAGCAGTGCTTTGAGCACATGGTCGCCATGCTCTGTTGAGCTTCTGGGAAAGTCCAATGCAATTTCCTATTCAAAATTTGAGTGTTCCAATGGCTTTTTGAGTTCAGAACAACATGCCACAAATGATGCCCTAGCTGCAATACATTAAATATGAACTGATTTTGAACATTCTAAAAGTTTAAACTGAACTAAGCAAGTTTTTAGGAGACAGCATGATAAATCAGAAGCTTCTGGATTTCTGCATGTAGTCCCTTATCCCTTCCTACCTGGCTCCAAGAAGTCAGCATGTAAGTTCCTCCAACACTGTTGGACGGGAGGGAGGGAACTGCACAGGCAGAAGTTGTAGGGAGAAAAAACTAACCCAAACACACAAACCCAAGCCCCTTGAGCAAAAAAACAAGTCAGATTTTGTAAAGTATTTGTCTCTTCAACCACTCCGATCTGTCTTCATCTTGGCATAACATGATGTGGGGTGGATTCCTGAGAAAGCAATGGGCCATCCACAGGTGTCTATTACATCAACCCATCAGCTTTTACACGGGCAAGTACAATCTTGATATCAGAAGCTGTTTTCTTAAAATGTACATGAGCAATCTATGTGCAGATGCAATTCAGCACAGCACGTCCTATGCATGTTTGTGATAAAGCTTTCTTCCCTATTGCAAGCAAGCCTGTAGGTAATTAAACATAGGAAATATCTTGTTTAAAAGCTTTAGTCTGAAGCTACCAGCCACAGCAGCTTCAAGCTGGAAAATCTTCTGAAAAGTCTATTGAAGAAAAAAGGTGATTTGGTTGTATTTTCTGCGACTATACTGGCATAGGTCTTCCTAGGCAGATGTCACAAACACTAAGAGAGCTCACATTCTTCTGAATATAGTTTAGTCTAGAGTTTAGGTTGTAAGAAGAAAATACACAGCTGACATTAGGTCTCCTGTGATCAAACCTGACACAGCACATTAAAACCCTAATGTTCCTCTGCAGTGCCCCTTTGTTTTTAATTATGGCAAGGCTATGAAGACTCTCACTTACTTGTTAGCTTCCCAATTATTCCTGCTAGAAGTCATATGCACCCTAAATATCCTTTAGAAACAGAAATTTACACATCCTTATCGAAGATCAAGTGTGCTTGCTTAACGTTAGCCCAGACAACTTTATAGGTCAGCGATTTCATGAGGAAAAACATTCCCAATTCTTTCCAAGACCAGGCAAATACGAAGGCCAGCTCATAATTCATACAATAAGCAGTATTCTGCGGGTTTGCTCTGCATGCATCATGAGCATTCATGTGTTTGTGTACACAAAAATAATCCCGAAACGTTAAAATCATCTGTAAATAAAGATCATTCTTAAGGGCTATTTAATATCCATAACACTAAATTTGGAGAGGAAAACCAACACTTTTAACACTGAATTTGTCAGTAGGCTGCACTACTGCTCTTTGTGGAACAAAATACATTTGCACTGAGATGTATCCCTAAGTAATATTCAGGGACGCTTTCTCTCCCACAGAGAATGGGAAGTTAATTTTACATATATATGTATAGTTTACATATATATACACACACCCCTCTTATCTCTAGATCAAAAGGGTACTCAAATAAGACATAATGCCTGATAGTTTTCTGAAATACAAAACTACCATTAGAATCTGTGTAAAGACCTTCTTTCAGCAGCAATCATCCAAAGTCACAACACTGTTATCACTATCTAAGGAATGTTCTGATGCACCAGAAGCTATCGAGCCAAGGTGTCTTTACTGAAACCGCAAATTCTTTCTATTACAGTCATGGTTTGAAGACTACACATGCTCAAGGACACAAAACTTTTGCCTCCATAACTATCTCTGTGCAAAGCAACCTCTAGAAGCTATTCAGCGATTTTTAAATTCTCAAGCATTTCACTGCATAATTACTTCAGAAAACTTTAAACTGTGTGATTACTGGGGCTGAAATGTAACTTTTTTTTTAAGAAAAAGCATTTAAGTCATCTTCCCCTCCTTGCCCCAGATCTTTTGGATTACTTTTGGTTCATACGTTTTTTGGAACAGAAATTAGTATTTACGAACACCCCCACTCCCCCAAAACCCCAAACTGAACTAATTTGATGGCTTAATAATGTGACAAAGCTCAATGAAGACCCAAAACAACCAAAACACTTGCTCACCAGAGTATTGCTCTTCTTAATATCTTCTAAACGCTCTAAGACTGAAGTCAGGTTTGGGTCATCTGATTCTACAAACCATATTGGTGATGAAGAGGGGTAAGACTCCTGTTAAAAAACAACACAAAAGACCCAACAAATAAATAAACAAAAAAAAAACACAACACAAAACTATAAAGCTTTTAAAGCTCATTCACCCCCAAAATTCCACAACACAGTATTAACATCACCTTTTATCTCACTCTTAAGTCAGCTAACAGAGAAGCTCTTAACACAGCAGTTTTAGGCAACACAAGAGAAGCTGAAAGAAATCCAGCCAACTGGTTCTTCTCGTATTTCATCCTATTTTCATCTTTATCAGATGATGGACATAGATAAGAAACAGTGCTGAAAAGCTTAAAACCCTGGGGATGGGTGGAGCAGGAGGGACAAATGTAGGAATGTTGGAGATGTGATCATTACCAAACTATGAAATCACAACTAGTACACATCAAAGATTAAAACTAGATGGGTGCCAGTCTGTCATAAAAACACAGATTCTTCCAAGTAAAAGCTGTGAAGGCAACAACACCTGGAGCCTCCAGATTGCCTTCTCAAACAGCACCATTCAAACCATTCCAGCACTGGCCCTCAGACAGAGGCAACACAGCTCAAGTCCATCACACAGTCCATCCATAGCTCCTGCCTCATAGGGCAGACCAACACTGAGATCATGATTCCAAAACCCTGCAATTTGATCTTTGTACCATCAAGGCTCATAGAGGACTTTCCACTATTGAAAGATTACTCAAGCAATGTATTATACACAAGTCTATTGGGAAAGCTTACAGACTGACTCTCTTCCATTGTTACAGTCGTACAGTTGTCAGGCAGGTGCCAACACACATCTGAATGACAGTGAGATCAGATGGGTTCACAGGATTAGAAGTACAGATGATTTTCCAGAACAAGCCACGCTTAGGGCACTTACAACACATGGAACAGGTGTGGCCCGCAACCGCTCATACAATCCATGACAAGTGATTTCCCTTTCACTCAGCTGCCACAGCATGCAGCCCTTCCAAAGGTGCTCGGAAAACCCTTGCTATGGAAAGCAGACAAAGTCATTTGCCTCCTTTCTAGAGGCTTCAAAACGCAATTCCATTTTTTTCCTAACATGTTTGGTAACGCTGTGAGGATGGAGGAAACCACGTAGCTTCCAGCTCAACAGCAAGTGTCCCTTCGGATCACTGACAGGTTTGGATTACTTTATTTTCTTTTGGTTAAGGCATTCTCTACTTCTCACCCATTTAATTAAATTCTAGTAGCTGAGGACAAATTGCTGAACCTCAGTTTTATCACCCAGATATTATCTTCATATCCCCAGGTCTTACTAAATAGCAGGAGGGAATTTTCATTCATTTCCCTCACTGCAGTTTAAAGGAAAAATTCCGTATTTCTCATTCCAGCAGCAATAAATCATGCTTTATTCTCCAGCACTTAAGAGTCAAGGTTCCTACTGCTACTCTGATAGGTGACTCCACCACATACTTAGGAAACTACACTCTTTCTTGACTGCATTATTTTTTGCTTTGTAATTTTCAAGACAACTGTAAGAAGCTTCACAGGAAGAAGACAACATCCCTACCTGAGTAGTAACACTACTGGGCTTTAGTGATTCCCAAGCAAACTTAACCTCTCAAAGTGCAAGTCCCAAAAGAAGAATCCAGACCTTCATAACCTAAACTAGCTCCTGTCATTTCAAAGATGCTGGGTTTATCAGACAGCAGAACACGAGGCATTTGAAAACTAGACAAAAAGGCAAGCATGTTACAATTGGCATTGAATGATACAAAGCTTACTGCCTAACTGACCTTCCAGCTGAAGAGCTGAACCTCCTAACAGAAACTGTGTGATTAGATCAAGGACATCAGCTTTGGCAGAACAGACCATCACACTCCAGGCATGTTCTAGCTCCAGAAGTCCAAAATCCCTGCCTGAAAACTGCAGCCTTTGCATTAACTTATTTCTAAACAAGCTCAATCCCCCCAGGTTTATATTTATTTTTGAAATCACAGCCAGCAAATACCTTCAGAGAACACAATATTCCTGGTATCTTTACGTAAAGACAAACTGTTTATGTCCTTTAGCTTCCCTTCAAGGCACACCATAGACCAAACAGAGACCTTAGGACACCTATTCTTGATAGGCAAAAAGGTTCAACTCCCATCTGCCACTCAGGACCCAAGCTATTATTTTTTAGGAGCTACATTCCACTAAAATCATTCCAGGTTTTGTACTGGTATTGTCTCACTCTCCTTATTCTTAATAACACACAACCCACCTATAAAGTCTTCTGCAATAGTGTAATATTCTCACCTCAAAACGCTGGATCTTTATGCACAGGACAAAATCAGAAAGGAAACTCTGCTGTGACCCTACTGCCCAAAGATTTGTTTGAGCCAGCTGTTTTTGAGGCCTGAACTGCTCTGGCAAGCTCAATCCATTAAGGGAAATGAAATAGGGTAAACACTACTAGCAAGACTTGAGATTGCACCAACATCCCCCATCACTAAATACAAAGAACAAACAAAACCCCTTCCAAGACTTATTGAGCCATCTGCTTCTTGAAATCTTCATTAGGATAAAAATATTCTCCAGATACAGTCAACATTTGAAATGTGCATTCTCTCAACAGTTATTTTTGGCCTTTTTTAATCAAGCATTTTTATATATGTTAGTCCAAGCAAGTCTATTAATTGCAATGATTTCTGTAAGATAGACGTCTGTCAGTCTGTTGCTCAAAACCGAACCTGGAATCTGATGCTGCTCACAGAGTAAAGCTCAACTCTTCACTGTCTACATTCTTTTCTGGCAACTCTGTTTCTCCTCTACCCACCAGAAGGACTTAATGAACGAACCCACAGTAGAACACTTGCTGGTTCCAATCAAAGTCCCTCCCAGTCTGGGGGCCTACAGAAAAATCTCTTCCAAAACACCTGCAGCAAACCCTTTGTCAGAGCGGGACATGACTGACAGTGCAGATTTGATAAACAAGCAATGCCACTATGTGTTTAATTTCAGTGGCCACTTGAATGTGCCAATGCCTTCTGTCCTGAATGACAGGCCTTCCTCCCTCTTTGCTCTCATTCTAACTCATTCCATTTTTTGCAATGAAAGCAAAAGCTTCCAGTTGGTGGCAACACTTTCTAATTCTTCAGACTTACAATGAGTATGTTCACTTAACTAATTAAAAATGCATACGGCACTAAGCTTCTCAGGGTCTGTAAGCTGTATTTTTGGAACAGCTGAATTTCACATGGAGATGAGTCACTATATTTTGAAACAGAGAACTCACATACAAAATTCAAACATTCTGATCTCAAGATTTAAACAAGCTCATGAGTTTGTAACACCATAACACGCAATGAAAAACTAATGTGGCTTGTAAGGTCAAATACCTGAACTAAACATAACCTAATTCTGTCAAGAGACTTAAGTCAGCTTTTCCTTCCATATCTGCACCCTATAGAGAGATGGATTTAAGTTGTTATGTCATGCAAGGAACACAAGCTTCTCAAATACAAAAGCAGCACGTTGAGAGAGGAACCCTAGAATAGTAATTATTTTATTACTATTAATTCTCAGTGGCTAAAACCCCATCACTTTTGGCCTTTCACAACACACCTGACATACAGTGATGTTGTGTAATTAGCTTAGCTGCACAGGTATCACCCATATTAAGTGTTTGAGATGTTTTATGTAACTGCTGTAATGTCACATTTTCCTGCTCGCTAGAAGTCAAAGCAAAAATTCATCACAAGGGGCAAAGGCCCCAGTGGTTCCACAGGCTAATGCATGCTGTACAGCTTGGAAAGCAAATGCAACTGCTCAGTAAGACATGACATCACACCTCGCATGTACCGAGGCCCCAGGACAAAGGCTGGATGTTTACAGCCAACCCAGATACAATTACAATTCATGGGATCATCATTTCTAGAGAATCTTTGTATTAACACCAGGACAGACTGGGAGCTTTGTCAATACAAATGCTTCTGTAACAGAATGCAGCAAAAGAATTTAGCCTGCTAATAAACACACAGAATACAAAGAGACTAAAGCCCCATGCTCCCACCACTGGAACAGTTTCCAAACCTATTGAATCATTTAGGAAAACCACGGTGTATCAGAAGAATCCACACAGCATCTCACTGCTCAGATGTTCCACTGCATCCTCTAAAAAAGGGTCTACTTATATTTTGCTAACAATTTTGCTTACCAAAAAAACAAAGGCAGCAAAAAGTGACAGCAGATACCAGAAACACATACATTAAGACAGCTTTTCCCGGATACAGATCTGTCAGCTAAGTATATCCTATCTAAGCTTTCTCATCCTTAACAAAAGCCTGTTTTACTTGCAGTGTTATATAATCTTTATCCTGTTCTGTAAAGCTACAGCAACAGCATTTTGATGTAAGAGACTTTAAATGAGCTCTTTCTAAATCACACCATTTCAACAGTATTGTAGAAGTTCCTAAATTAAAACAGCACATTATGCTCAAATCCCTACAACTAGCATAACCTGTACACACAGTTTGCTATAAGGTAATAGTGCAACCATTTTGTCACAGCCAAATGGTAGGAAAGCAGGTTTAAACACAGATCTTCAGCATCATCATGTAAATATCACAATTACACCCTGACAGATCTTTTCTTTAATTTCCCAATCATGTTAGATTAAAAAGGGGGGGGGGGGAGGGCTTTCCTTTTAAAACTCCTTCATATACTGGCTGAACAAAGCTCAACCAATTGGATTTCTTTTCATTCTAAGTTTTTGCAAAATCTCCATCACTGACAGAACACAGTTCTGTCCCTACACCAGCTACAACTAAAACTTATCTGATTTTCATCAGCACTTTCAGCTTGTATCTTCTTGGTCCCAAAACGGTTTGTCCACCTGCCTTTATTTCCAACCAACAGAAGGTCAAACCCACAGATCTTTTAAACAGATTAACTGCTCTGAGAAGGCAAGCAGGAGACTGCTCTAGTTCACACAACTCCAGGTGACAAAGTCAGCCAATCCTACTGTAGTAAGACTTCTCAGAGGACTAATAGAGTCTTTTCAAGGT